ACTGGACTCGTGGACGAGATGAGGAAACAGTTCGGCGAGTGGGTGGAAACACACAGTAAAGATCCGGAACACATAGAACTATTAAACGAACTAGCAAAACTGCACCAGCGAACATCCCCAGGGAAAAACGCAGAACCAAAAGGTGAGACAGCAGCTACAGACCCCATAATAATACAAGTTCCACCCAAACCGAACTATCGGCTGCCCGAAACTCCCAGAGATTACTCAAAAGTAGCAAAACAACTAAGGGAGTGGGGATTCAAATTCGACGGAACAGGAAAAGCCCTCGAGTTCCTAGAACAGGTAGAATGGTCGGCGGACACTTATGGACTGGACAATGACCTAATCAATTAAGCAATGCCAGAACTTTTGTCAGGGATGGCATTAAAATGGTATGTAGCAAATAATGAACACTGGGATCGATGGACGGAGTTTATAGACAGCTTCCAAGTTTATTTCCTTCCGAGGGACTATTTTCAAAAACTCAGGGAGGAGGTAAATCGAAGAAGGCAGAGAGTGGGCGAACGATTTAAAGTTTATATGGTGGAGATGCAGACATTAATGCGACCCCTTCGTTATTCAACAGAGGATCAGCTCAAAACCATATTAGAGAAAAGCCTTCCGTATTTTAGGGCATATGCCAGGCCATACCAATGCGATAACCTATTACAGCTAATGAAATTAGCTGACGAATTCGAAGAGCTCGAAAGGGACAGGGAAAAAATACGACAGGAAGCAAGGACTCGCCCGAGATTCATGGCAGCGGAGGTACAATACCAGCCAACACCAGAAGAGTGCTGGCGGCTCCAAGAAAGTTACTCACAAGGCCCACAACCGGCACCGAGGGCCTGTAACGGATTCGTAAACAACCCGATGATGGCTTGCAGACGCTGTGGGCAAGACGGACACTTTGCCCGCGAATGCCAAAACGCTTGGCTAGAGTACTGCTGGCAGTGCGGAAGAATCGGCGTGAGTACATGGCGTTGCTGCAAAGCGAGGAGAAACGCATTCCGACCCCGTCCATTGAGGGAGCAGCGGCGGTCGGAACAAGAACACCCTCAAAACTGATTGGAAGCTTGAATGACGAAGGCACCCATCTGTCAGCAACCGTCCACCGGAAGCAACTGGGAGCTTTATAAGTGAAAGCCTCGCGAAACTAATCGGCACGGTGGCAAAAAGGAAAGGAATAAAACGGCAAGTTCGTCTGGCAGACGGGAAAAATACAGGTATATCAGAACAAATCGAAACAAAAATCAGCTTTGGAAAAGAAAGCCACGGGATAAGACTGCTAATCCTACCAGGAATAATCGACGATTTGGTGTTGGGATGGGATTTTCTGAGAACAATGGGACTGCGGTTTGAATGTGCAGGTCTGGGAGTAAAAATAGTACCACGGTCGAGGAATGAGTGGTGGTTGGAGGAACGACTATCGGTGGCAGTCATACACGAGAATCTACTAACAGACGATCCAGCAATAAAACAGTTCTTGAACGAGGAACTGAACGTTCAGTAAACTCTCAGGAACGTCCCACATAGCTTAACATCATATAAAGATGACCGATCCAAGACCGATAAAACAGAGGTATTTTCCTAAAAACCCCAAAATGCAGGCGGAAATTAATAAATTAGTGGACGAGCTCATAGAGAAAGGCTGCATCGAACCGTCGAAAAGCCCACACAGCGCCCCGATAGTGATGATCAAAAAGACATTCTTGAACAGCTACGTGAGGCGACATATATAAGCAGCCTTGACCTGAAAGACGGCTACTGGCAGATTCCGATGGAGTCAGAAAGTAGACCACTAACGGCGTTCACGGTACCTGGAAGGGGGCTGTTTCAGTGGAGGGTAATGCCTTTTGGGTTACATTCGGCGCCGGCAACGTTCCAACGAGCATTGGATCAAGTTATAGGACCCGAAATGATGCCACACGCGTTTGCATACCTGGACGATATAATCGTAATAGGGAGAACATTGGAGGAGCATATGGCGAACTTGAAAGAAGTTTTCCGGCGGCTACGACAGGTTAACTTGAAAATGGTTTTTTTTAGGAAAGACCTGAAGTATTTAGGGCACAGGGTAATCGATCAGGGCATTCGGACGGACCCCGATAAAGTAGCAGCGATCGCCGAATGAAAACCGCCAGCAAACACGAAAGAGTTGAGGCAGTATCTTGGGGTGGCCTCATGGTACAGACGGTTCGTGCCAGAATTCGCAACAACAGTACACGCTTTAACGACCCTGCTAAAGAAAGGAGCAAAGTGGGAATGGTCCAAAGAACACCAGGAGGCATTTGAAACGGTCAAAGAAAAACTAATATCCGATCCAGTACTAGCATGCTCAGACTTTAACCGAAAGTATGTACTTCAAACAGATGCGAGCGATGTGGGACTAGGAGCGATCCTCAATCGGCCGAGAAAGGGGAACGGGTCATATCATATGCAAGCAGGACATTGAACGCAGCAGAGAAGAACTACTCCGCCACGGATAAGGAGTGCTTAGCCATCGTATGGGCAATCAGGAAAATGAGGCCGTACATAGAAGGATACAAGTTCACGGTCATAACGGACCACATGGCACTCAAATGGCTAAACTCGATTGAGAGTCCGACAGGCAGAATTGCGAGATGGGCCCTCGAGCTGCAACAATACGACTTTGACATCGTATACAGGAAGGGACAGTTGAACATAGTAGCAGACGCCCTCTCACGCTAACCGGTACAGGAAGAAGCATGCTTACTGGTGAAAGGGACCAAGCAGAATGGAGAAGAGGACTCAAGGACATGCCCTTGGATACGATCCCTGAAAATATCCGGATTTTCTAGAAGATGCGGGAAACATTTACAGACATATTCCCCAGCGAGCTGGAAAAGAAGATGTAATAGCTGGGAGAATGTGCGTACCGACGGCATTGAGGGGCAGGGTGCTACAGGAAAACCATGACGCAGTGACAGGGGGCCACACTGGAGCACGGAGAACGATAGCCCGAATCTCCGTGAGATATTTCTGGCCGGGACTACAAAGGGACGTACGAAACTATGTCTCGAAATGCGAAACCTGTCAGAAATATAAGCCGAGTCAGCTAAAAGCAGCGGGCAAGATGCTCTCGCAAGTCCCAGAGGAACCCTGGGCAACGGTCTGTGCAGACTTTGTCAGGCCACGATCAATCCATGGCAACACGATGCTACTAGTTATGATAGACAGATTCTCAAAATGGACGGAGTTAATAGCTCTACGAGCGGCAACAACGGCAGCTGTACAGAAGGCAGTTAGAAAAAGGATACTATCCAGGTTCGGGGTACCGAAAATAATGCTTGCGTAACTCTAGCACATCCATATCCACGGGGTACTCGCCAGCATTCATTATCCAAGGACGAGAACCCAGGCTACCTAAAGCATTGTTCGATGAAAACGCCTGGGGCACAGGCCAAGAGGTGGAAACGCCAACGGAAAACGCGACAAAACTAAAAGAGATATACACACTGGCAAGAAGAAACATGGAGCAAGCCGCACAGGAGCAAGCAAGACATTACAACCTGAGAAGAAGACTATGGAAGCCTAACGTGGGAGACTGGGTTCTGATCAAAGAGCACCAGTTGTCCAAAGCGGTGGAGGGATTCGCGGCATCAACGAAATGAAAGTGTGGAACGCAGACGACCAGGAAGAATACCACAGCGAACCAGCGGGGGAGCAGGTGGCCAACGCCGGAAAGCAGCCAATCGGAAGCTCGGAGGAGCAGGTGCCCATCACCAAGGAACAGCCAACCCAAAACAACAACAACATCAAGGAAAGGGGAGGCTCCGAGTAGCAGATGAGCAGCAAGGTTCAAAATAATACAAGAAATGAAGAGGCGGGTGCATCAATTGTCCCAGACCAGCGGGACCAGTCGAAGGAATCCAGAATCCTAGCCGGAGGAACGGGAAACGGATGCAGGAGATCTAAAAGGATAGGAATGGGGAAAGAATAATAACACAATGAACGACGCATAGCACCGGCATATACAGAATGTATTAATACTATCGGAGAATACATGTATTATATTATAAGTAATGATATCCAAAAGGGAAAGGGACCCGGCCCAAATCCAAAACGAACGAAACATCGAGCCTATCCTGGAAGAAAAACAAAGTCAAAATTAGTACAGAGTTGAAATACTGGGAGGAAGTGGATAGTACCGAAGCAGGAACAGATTCGCAGCGAGCATCACTGGCCACCACACAGATGCAGGTGAACGAAGCCTGCATGTAAACGAGCCTACATGGAAGAGCGGGTGGGGAAAAGAACAAAGATAAGTACGCAAAGCATAGCTCGCAAATAACTGTTGACCGATTCGTGCGGTCCCCAAATAACTGTTTTTGTTTGAGACTTTGAGCAAACAATTAGAGAGCAACCGATTGAATTGTTCGTACAGAAATTTTGCTCGCACTCAGCCGACGAGCAGTTTTTTCGGCTTTCTTTTGCTCGGCTCGCTTACAGACCGATTGCTCCTGAACGACGTTTCAAAAAGTCTTTTGCGCATGTGTTAACGTTAACGTGCTTGGGCGATATTGCTCTCCCTTTCACTCGCACTTACTTTCAAAGGGAATACATTGTATAGTTGTATTAGTGAAAAGACTTTTTGCGATGACTTTTTCAGTCAATCGGTCTTTTAATAAGTCTCCCTGTGCGAGCGACATTCGTATCTCTCATTGAACGAGGTTCGTAACAGAGCGTCTCACGAACAGCTCAACGTAAAAGGCTCAATCGAAAACCAAATCGAAAGGAAACGAAGTGTGCTGCGCAGAGAGAGAACGAGGGGCATGCTATTTTTCGGTTGTTCTCGGGAGTAGAGCGTAAGGAAAAAAACGGTTAACAGTTATTTGCATGCTTTGACGCAAAGTTAAAAGATAAGAGACAAAAGCCGAACTTACGTGTAACGGGATCATACGAAGGAGGCGACCAATAGCTTCAATGCCGTCGCTGAGCTTCCAACTCATTCACTTGAATTTGAACAGGCATCGAGAATGGAAGGGAAAGCAGCGACGACCAGCGGGAGACGGCAGCGAGCAGCACGTGGTCGAGGACCACGTGTAGGAACGCGGCTGCCGTTCCTATATCCCAGGAGGGACGTCCGAGTCCGCCGAAGGGCACCACCGCGCAGGCCCCGCAGCCCGGTACTGCAACTGCTGGCTTCGTCGCTGGTCTCACCCCAAGCAACCAGGACTGGGCCCGAGTCTGACGACAGTCGACGGTGGATGTACCCGGATAGTCCGTCGGTGGGGTGGAATAGCGGCGACAGCGGCAGCAATTTTTCAGACTGGGATGCAGGCTGCCCGAATATCTACGATCCGCTAGGCAGCCCGGAGCCGGTGGCGTGCATCAAGGGGTGGGCCAAGGGACCGTATTCGGACGAGGACGACGCGGGAGATGGCGACGTAGACGGCGGAGCGAGCGGCGGCGAGGCGACCGGCGGCACTGCAACCGGCGGAGCGAGCGGCGGCGAGACGACCGGACCCGAGGCCACCGGCAGGAGCCCGTGTACCTGTAGTGGCAAACGTCGACGCCGGTGGGGGAGTGGTGGTGGCACAGGAAGGCGGTTATGGTCCAGTGGATGGACAAAGTCCCGCCAGGCACGCCGGATCCCCGTCAAGGTGCCACGAAGGACGGGCCGCCACCAGCAGAAGCAACGACCACAGCGGCAGAGGAGGCCGAGGAACCACGGGATCCAAGGCTCCGGAAGACGACGACGACAGCGGCGATGGACGTCGAACTGCCGGTCGACGCAGGGTAGCAGGCTGGGGAACCGCGGCCACCTCCGACACCGCCTCCACCGTCCATGCACGGGGGGGCTGCCGCCGACGCCACCGCGGAGAACCTGGAGCGGGGTGAGTGGAAGTGGCCGGATCCGGACCAGCAACGGACGACGTTGCAGCGGCAGCAGTCGATGCCCGAGCGGCCGGTGCAACGACCGCCACCACTGCAACGGCAGGCGTCGTGTCCAGCAGGCCGGCAGCGATGAACGGAGGTGCAGCTGGAGGATTGGCCGCACGAGGTCCACGCGGCGGTCCAACGCCAGCGGGGCAGGGCGAAGCGCCGGTGGGCGCAGCTGGTGTGGGCAGCGGGGCAGCGCTACCGCGTCCAATGGGTCCAAGAGGGATCCGGGTCCTGAAGGAGCAGGCGTAATAAAGTACAGCGGAAGCTGGAAAAAAAGACACGAAAATTTAAAGTTTTCGGATTGGGAAAAGTGGGGAAAATAGCAAAACTTACCAGGAGCAGGGAAACACGAGGCCAAGAAAATGCTAAAGATGGAACTGGAGATCGGAGAAACGCCGATAGGTGAACGATACCGTAGGAGGGTCATACCAGGTAGAATACTAAATACTAAATGGTGGAGAACTCGGATAAAGATATCGAGCGAAGACACGAACTGAGATCGAGGACCATCCGTGGTGATCTGGCCACTCGAGCGGAAAGGCGCGAGGTTTAAACGGCGGCGTTTCCGGACGGCGCGTGCGCGGGAAGTTTAAATGATCAGGAATGGTGAAAGAAAAATAAAAGGATTTTCCCTGGAAAGAAAGGGGGGAGTGTGAGGTATTGGAATACCGCACAAGAATAAAGACCGGGAACAGTACCTAAATACGGGAAACGGTACCTAAATACAGAAAACAGTACCTAAGGGAACGAAGCGGTACTTCTAGACGGGGGACCGCTTGATTGTTCCAGTCCGAGGATGGAGGGAAAGGCCGTTAGAAGACGCTGGGGAAATGAGAGTCAAGTGGGATACTTCGAGGGATGGTGAAGGAGCGAAGAGCCGAGCAGCGTCGAGCCGAGCAGCGTCGAGAATCAGCAAGATTTGTAACCTTATAAGGGCATGAAAAGGGCCCATTAATCCCGTTAATCGGGACCAGCGCACTATGGGGCATTTGAGCACTTTTCTTGGTTGAAATTAATAACTCGGTCAATTCAAAAGATATTGACTTGAAACTTTACCAGTCGAAATTTTTTGTCCCTACGCATATTATATATGAGAATCATCCGGATCGGACAACTATATCATATAGCTGCCAAAGAAACGATCAAATTTACTTTGCTGTTTTTAGAGATAAATGCACATAATTTTAATAATAGCAATTATGTCAGTTTTTAAAACAATATTAAAAGTTTCGTACAAATCGGAAGACTATATCCTAAAGTTCTCAAAAAGAAGGGCAAAGGAAAGTATTTAATCTACATTTGTACGACTTTTTTGTTCAAAATTTTTTTTTAAAGCCGCTAAAGTTTACTTAAGTTAGTCAATTACAAAGCTAAGTATTTCCTTCTATTTTGATAATAATTTAAAGCCAGAAAAGTACTTACTTCCTTAGCTACCAGTGCAAACGATAGGAGTGTGTAAAATTTAAGGTTAAGGTCTTAAAAATTAAATTACAGAAAAAGTGGCAATAAGTGGCGATTCTGACCATATACATTTTAACAGCAATTAAATAATCTACAAATCCCAATAGAGGTCCGTCGAGCCCCACCCCGCATTACTCCGATCAGGTTAATTTTTTTTTCAAAATTTCGTGCTAATTTGGTGCTAATTTCGGGCCTAATTTGCGAATTTCGTGCTCGAGTGAAAAACATTTTTTTAAATACCCAAAATGCGGGGTGTAGAACGGCAAACGGCCTACACCCCGCATCAAGTTCTGATCATACTAGATGAAAATGAAGTACCACATAATTTCGTGCTAATTTTGTGCTGGCTAAATCCAAAAGCCCGACTTTCGTGCTCAACGGGAAAATTTTTTTTCTTAATTTTCAAAATGCGGGGTGTAGAACGGCAAACGGCCTACACCCCGCATCAAGTTCTGATCATACTAGATGAAAATGAAGTACCACATAATTTTGTGCTAATTTTGTGCTGGCTAAATCCAAAAGCGCAACTTTCGTGCTCAAAGGGAACATTTTTTTTTTTTAATTTTCAAAATGCATCTTGTTCTGATCATACTAGATGAACATGAAGTACCACATAATTATACCCGTTTATGTTATTAGTCTAAAATTAAATTCTTTGAATTGTACATAATTCTATTATTAAAGATGCATTTTTATTACACAAACAAACCTTCTGCACTCTTCAGTAAATTATCTGTAAGGATTACAAATGCTTGCATTAAATTCGTTTTTCGGTCTTTTCCTTTCTTATTGGTTCTATAGTTCATCCTTCCTGTTGACTCTTCAGCAATAAAATTAAATAAATTCGTATTAAATAAAAAAAAACAAATTAATAATTTTATGATACACAAATAATATTTATTATATAACATAAAACGGTAAAGTTTAAAAATTGTGGTAAGTTGACCTCACCCGTAAAAGTCTATATAAGTAATTTTAGTTATCACTGCGGTCGGCAGTCAAAAACAGTGCCCAAACCTGTCACAATTTTAAATAACATATTTCTAAACGATCTAAGTAGTTTTGCTTTGAATATAAGCACATGAGCGTAGGCTACAAATCTTTGGGGACTGAAATGACTGAAGTGTAATACCCCTCCAGCTTTTAACTTACGCCCATGTATAAATATTTTTAGAGCAAGTGTTACTTGTGCTCAAAAATAGTTATGCGTTACGTAAAATAGTGACAGGTTTGGGCACTGTTTTTGACTGCCGACCGCAGTGATAACTAAAATTACTTATATAGACTTTTACGGGTGAGGTCAACTTACCACAATTTTTAAACTTTACCGTTTTATATTATATAATAAATATTATTTGTGTATCATAAAATTATTAATTTGTTTTTTTTTTATTTAATTTAACTTTATAATTAATTTTATTGCTGAAGAGTCAACAGGAAGGATGAACTATAGAACCAATAAGAAAGGAAAAGACCGAAAAACGAATTTAATGCAAGCATTTTTAATCCTTACAGATAATTTACTGAAGAGTGCAGAAGTTTTGTTTGTGTAATAAAAATGCATCTTTAATAATAGAACTATGTACAATTCAAAGAATTTAATTTTAGACTAATAACATAAACGGGTACAATTATGTGGTACTTCATGTTCATCTAGTATGATCAGAACAAGATGCATTTTGAAAATTAAAAAAAAAAAAATATTCCCTTTGAGCACGAAAGTTGCGCTTTTGGATTTAGCCAGCACAAAATTAGCACAAAATTATGTGGTACTTAATTTTCATCTAGTATGATCAGAACTTAATGCGGGGTGTAGGCCGTTTGCCGTTCTACACCCCGCATTTTGGGTATTTAAAAAAATGTTTTTCACTCGAGCACGAAATTCGCAAATAAGGCCCGAAATTAGCACCAAAATAACACGAAATTTTGAAAAAAAAATTAACCTGATCGGAGTAGTGCGGGGTGGGGCTCGACTGACCTTCCCAATAGGTTCCAGAAGTGGACTCCGCTGGACTCACTTTGTTACTCCATTTGAAATTTAGTTTTCTTCCGAAAATGTACTTGCTAGATGACTTCCTTTAACACTCATTTATAAGAAAAAGCCGTCTGATTTTTGTCGTCTAACCACACAACTACTTAGTACATAGCATAATCCTTTAAATCCAATCCAAAAAGTTTACTTGGATTGCTTAAAAACTCAAATTTACAGCATTTTAAAACTGCAACCAAAAAGTCGAAATACAACAGCCCGATAATTGAATTTCGAACAGCTGATTTAACAGCTTCTAACTTCACAGAGGCGACCTCTATCGGATTTCTGTAAACGTAACATTGTTAAATGGTCTTCTGTTAACACATCCCCAAACAACATTTTTTGTTTTAACGACTTTTAAAAAATGGGTTTTGGCCAACCAAGGTGGTCAAATGCCCCATAGTGCAGCGGCGATACCATTGGTGGAGGATCACGTGATGGAAAGTTACCCGGCAGAAGATGGCGGCGGGCCGGGTATATAAGGCCGCGGCGGCGGGAGGGTCTCTTAGTGCGCAGGCGCGAGTCAGTGTATGGTCGGTAAAGTGAAGTGGAAATCATCAGGACGAGGAGTTCTGAAAACCAACGGCAAGCAAAGACATCAAGTGCGGTACGGCGTAGTCGAAGACGCGTTCACGGACTAGGCGAAACAGCCCAGGAGACGAGTAATTCAACGGAGCCAACAGATCCTGCCCGGAGGACCCCTGTCAGCCCAGTCCGGCAACCGAAGGCCTCACCCAAGCCGAGTCGTGGGACCGGCGAACCACGGGATCGGACAGTGACCAACGAAGGCCGGCGAGTGTCCCAGCCAGCGGAGGCACTGACGATCGAGTTGGTCGAGGCAGCCCAATCGGAGCTTAGGACGACGTCCTACCGGTCAGAGCGAACGCACGGGAAAGCGAACGCACGGAGTGGACCCCTGGAGGAAGATCAGAGTGACGGGAACTGCGGGGAGCGGAAAGTTGTGTGGCTGGCAAGGAATAAGCAGAAATAAAGGCATTATCGTGAATTGGATATTCTTGTGTTCTTATTCGGGGTACCGGGGTACTTTAACAAAGTTACTTCCAACTATAGATATTTCTTTATTAATGCAATATTGATTTAATAATGTTTTAGGGATATTCCATGTCGATAAAATATTTGGTTCAACATAATTAATTTGGAAATTGTTATATGTTTTAATATACTTTGACATTCGTCAAATACAATTTTTCCTGTTTCTTTGTTAAATATGTAGGAGTTATACCGTCAGGTTCGTCGGCCATTATGAAATACGGTTTTTCAACATAATTAATTTGGAAATTGTTATATGTTTTAATATACTTTGACATTCGTCAAATACAATTTTTCCTGTTTCTTTGTTAAATATGTAGGAGTTATACCGTCAGGTTCGTCGGCCATTATGAAATACGGTTTTTCTAAGTGTACTCAGCGCAGCGAGTCGCAATGAATTTTCCTAATCACGCACGTTCGTCCGCTCAGAAGGGTTAACTCGAACTGCCTTGCTCTCTATTCCTCACTTCTCATTACCCATCATTGCGCCAGGCTCAGCAGGGATTTCGCTCTCCTTCCCCACCGCGGTCTCACACAAAAGCTCTCTCACTCTTTGCAAATCTCTTTTGATCCTCATTCATCCTTACCTGCTTCGCATAATTCATACACTGAGAGATCTACAATAAGCAATCCGATCTAATGTTTTAATGTAATCTCCGACACGGCCTTCCTGACTATAACACGACCTCGTGTTAGTCAATACAAC